GGCTAAACGATTTTTCTGAATAGACGCAACTTTAGCGATAACCATAAAACGGTTACTTCGAAAAATAACTACTTAACGGTTATTTTTGGAAAGATGCACCTTTTGACAAAATAGTTATAATGAAAAGACACAACTCTTGACAAATCGATTACAACGAAAAGACGCAACTCTTGACAAAACAGTTTTAACGAAAAAAGTAACCATAAAGCAGTTTTTTCGAAAAGATGTAATCTTTCAAAATAACCATAATGCGATTTTTTGAAAAAACAGAAAAACTAAAACATATATATATATAGGCTAAACGATTTTAATAGATGCAACTTTTAGCGATAACCATAAAGCGGTTACTTAAAAAAATAACTACTTAACGGTTATTATAGAAAAGACGCAACTTTTGACTTAATTATATAATGAAAAGACACAACTCTTGACAAAACGGTTACAACGAAAATATGCAACTCTTGACAAAACGATTTTAACGAAAAGATGCAACGCTTGCAAATAACCATAAAGCAATTTTTTCGAGAAGATGCAATCTTTCAAAATAACCGTAATGCGGTTTTTTGAAAAAAAAACAGAAAAACTATTATATATATATAGGCTAAACGATTTTTTTAAAAAGACGTAATTTTTAGTGATAACCATAAAGCGGTTAATTAGAAAAATAACTACTAAACGGTTATTTTCGAAAAGACGCAATTTTTGATAAAATAGTTACAATGAAAAGACATAAATCTTGACAAAATGGTTATAACGAAAAGACGCAACTCTTGACAAAAGCGGTTTTAACGAAAAAAATAACTCTTGCAAATAACCAAAGCGGTTTTTTCGAGAAGATGCAACCTTTAAAATAAACCATAATGCTGTTTTTTTGATTTTTTGAAAAAAAAGAAAAACTAAAGCATATATATATAGGCTAAACGATTTTTCTAAAAAGACGTAACTTTTAGTGATAACCATAAAACGGTTCATTCGAAAAAAACTACTTAATGGTTATTTTTGAAAAAGGCAACTATTGACAAAATAATTATAATGAAAATACACAACTCTTGACAAAACGGTTACAATGAAAAGACGCTAAATC